CCTGAGGGTGCAAGGCAGCTGGCTGACCACAGTCACACATTCGTGTGCAGATAAACCAAGTGAAGGAGCCAGCAGTGAGACAAACCGCTCAGGCTAGGGCCCCAACAAAGGAAATTAGAGCCTGAGAACACCAATTGGAAAGACTTTTGGGGTTGAGGTGCCAGGAGAAGCTCCCAGGCTCACAGAGAGTTCGTTGGAGAGACCCACAGGGTCCTGGAGGGTACACAAGCCCATACACCTGGGAACCAGCACCAGAAGGGCCCAATTTGCTTGTGGGAAGCAGCAGAGGGGACAGAAATCTGAGACAGAGCATAACAAATGCCACTGCCCCTCTCTGACCCCGCCCCCACATACAGCATCACAAACCAGCAACCTGGGTGGCCCCGCCCTGGTGAACACCTAAGGCTCCACTCCTCATACATAACAGGCGTGGAACAGAGCAAAACATTATGGCTCAAGGAGAACTCAAAGCCCCAGAGCCAATAAATCTAAGTGATGAAGAAATAGCTAACCTTTCAGATGCACAGTTCAAAACACTGGTGATCAGGATGCTCACAGAACTGGTTGATTTTAGTCACAAATTAGAGGACCATATGAAAGCAAAACTAATTGAAATGATGGGAAATGCACAGGAAACCAATAGCAATGGAAACTGGAACTCAAATCAAGGGAGTGGACCAGAAGGAAGAAAAAAATGACCAAACAGAAAAATATGAAGAAACAAAAACTCAAAAAAATGAAGAGAGGCTTAGGAACCTTCAGGACATCTTTAAACATTCCAACACCCCAATTATAGGGGTACCAGAAGGGGAAGAGGAACAGTAACAAGTAGAAAACTTATTTGAACAAATAATAAAGGAGAACTTCCCCAATCTGGCAAAGGAAATAGACTTCCAGGAAATCCAGGAAGCTCAGAGAGTCCCAAAGAAGTTGGACCCAAGAAGGAACACACCAAGGCACATCATAATTACATTAGCCAAGATTAAAATGAAGGAGAAAATCCTAGAAACAGCAAGAGATAAGGGGACAGTCACCTACAAGGGAATTCCCATCAGACTGTCAGCTGATTTCTCCAAAGAGACCTTACAGGCAACAAGGGACTGGAAAGAAGTATTCCAAGTCATGAAATCCAAAGACCTACATCCAAGATTGCTCTATCCAGCAAAGCTTTCATTTAGAATGGAAGGAAAGATAAAGTGCTTCTCAGATAAGATCAAATTCAAGGAGTTCATCATCACCAAACCCTTATTACATGAAATGTTAAAGGGATTTACCTAAGAAAAAGAAGATACAACAGATGAACAGTGAAAGGACAGCAAACTCAGTTACTAAGAACCACACCTAAAACAAAAGCAAACTAAAAGGACAGCTAGATCAGTAGCAGAACCACAGAAATGGAGACCACATGGAGAGGTAGCAACAGGGGAGTGGGAGGAGGAGAAGGGGGGAGATGGTACAGGAAATAAGTAGCACAGATGGTAGGTAGAAAATAGATGGGGGGAGGGCAAGAATAGTAGGGGAAATACAGAATCTAAAAAACCTGAGACACATGGTCATAAACTAAAGGGGGGAATGGTGGGGGAGGGGATGTGCAGAGTGGAGGGGAATGAAGGGGGGAAATAGAACAACTGTAATGGCATAATCAATATATATATTTTTAAAAAGTGACAGATGATGAGGGCCTGAACTGAGAGTGCAAGCACAGATGGAAAGGAATTAGATATAAAAGTGGGTAAAGAGTAGAAACATTGAAGAGTGAAAAGAAAGGAGAATGCTGAGGTTGCTGCCAGGCTTCCACGATGGATGACTATGTAGATAGTGCCACTGACCATGGCAGGCAATAAATACAAAGAGGAGCAGGACTGAGGGAAAACATGAATTCACATTTGTACTGTTGTCTGATGTACCTTGAGAACATCCTGCGGGAGATGTCCAATAGGCAGTTGGCTATAAGGATCTGGACTGCAGGAGAGAAGTCTGAGATAAAGAATTGGGAACAGGCAGCAAGAGATCACCTAGGAAGAGAATATAGAAGAGGACAGGAGCCTGACATCAGGTAACTAAATATCATGCATAATTAGTGTTCCTAAAGCCACGCTAGATAAAACTTTGCCCAGAATTAGATGATGTATTTCTACAGAAAAATATTCAATATGTAATGTTAAATGACAAACCCCCCCCCACAAAGCTACATGCTTAGTACAAACCGATTTTTACAAATATGTTTTAAAAATAATAGTCCTGGCATAGGAAAAAAAAAAACAACAGAAGAGTAAGTGCCAAACTATTAATAATGGTATTTATTTGAGATTATATAAGCCTTGTACATCTATATGTCTCTATGGTATTTCACTCAAAAAGTACTATTTTTGTAAACAAGAAGAAAAGATAATTGGTTTTTTCTAAAAAAGTTATAGCATGTATCCTTACAATATAAAAATGTAATAAAATCTGTTAGAAAAACACCTGGACACTGGACTATTAAAGAGCAAATAACATGAACATACAACTTGTAAAATTCTGAAAAAAAGTGTTCAATACACAATTTATACTATCAAAATAATGCAAATTACAACATACCATTTGTTGCCTACTAAATCAGAACGCAATTTTTTAATAACAAAACTAGTCAATGCTGCTAAGGGTATATAAAAAGAGCATCTCAAACACACTCATAGAAGTAAACTGGCACACTCTTTCAGGTAAACAATGTGACAACATGTATCAATAGCTTCAAAAAGATTCTGAACATCTGATCTAAATTCTCTTTAGAAATTTAAGAAAACAGCCCTGTCTGGTGTGGCTCAGTGGATTGAGTGCAGGCCTGAGAACCAAAGGATCGCAGTTCGATTCCCAGTCAGGGCATATGCCTGGGTTGCAGGCCAGTTCCCAGCAGGGGACACACAAGAGGCAACCATACATTGATATTTCTCTCCCTCTCTCCTTCCCTTCCCCTCTAAAGATAAATAAATAAAATCTTTTTAAAAAATTGAAATTTAAGAAAACAGTCCAAAGCCAAAAATATGCAAAGATATTTCACCAAATCATTAATTCAAACAATCTAAATGCCAGCATTGGGACACAACATTAAATTATGCAGGCATCAAAAGTAATGTTCACCAAAACTTTTAAAAAAGTACATGCTCTACAATCTTGCAATTCTACTACTATAGAAACACTTGCACTTGTGCACAAGAACACGTCACAAAGAACTTTGTTGTGCAGTACTTGTACTAAAGTAAAATTTCAAAAAACCTAAAAGCTCATCAATACATGAGTACTTAAATCAGCTTTCTCAGACTAAGGTCTGAGGACTCCTGGAAGCCCCCAAGACCTTTTTAGGGGTCCTGTGAAGTCCTTCCTTTTCCAAATATACATCAGTGTAAAGCTGGATTTTCTTAATATGCTTCAGCCTAAATAAGATAGTAGGCCAAATTGAAGAGAGAAGCAGATATGAGAACCCAGCTATCTTCTAGTAAACCAGACAGTAAAATGATGTGCAAAAAATGTAAAGCAATGCTACCTTTCTCACTAAATTTTTTATACAATATTTTTCAACAATATCATTTAATATATAATGGTTTATTTTTAATGAACAAATAAAAATTTTAAATATTCTGAGTTTTCACTTCTAAAATGGTAAATACACTTCATTAGAAAACAAAACTTTTAGTCTTTAATAATTTTTAAGTGTGTAAAGAGATCCTTAACAAAACTTTTAGTCATTAATAATTTTTAAGTGTGTAAAGAGATCCTTAGACCCATCTGGTTAAATAAACTATGTTACCATCATATTATGTAACGTTATGATTGGGAATGATAACTTAGCTTTATCTATAATGTAACTGTTTCAAAAGACATCTGTAATCAAAAAACGTTACATGTATAAAGATTTTTTAACACATGGGAAAATGCTTAAAACACAATGTCAAGCAAAAAAGCAGCCAATCCAACTGCATATAAAAATCTCATCTTAATGAAGAAAATAGCATGGAAAAAAGACTCGAACATAAAAAGTCAAAATATTAACTGTGGTTGATTACCTTTAAATAAAGGAATTAGAGTTGATTTTTTCCTTATTCATTATTATGCTTACATTTTTTTTTTTTACATTAAGCATACAGTTTAGCATCCAGGGGAGAAAATAAATGAAAAAATGTGGTGCAAATTTATATAATATCTCTACTGGATCAAACCATTCAACTTCTGCCAATTCTAAAGACTACAAGTTCAAAATAATAAATGAAGGGACCTAATTCAACTGACAAATCGCCTATTTTGTTAAATTAAGACATTAATGTATCAAATTTATGGGCTGGTTTCCATTAAGAGTCTAACAAGAACACCCTTAATCTGGAATACAATTTGCGATGACGGTAATCCAAGTTACTAGTTTAAAAGTTAGATCATCTTTTAGCCTTTTTCAAAGGTACCAGGGTAAAGATAAGGGAGGAGGAATATTAACTCATCCTTCCTAAAATGATGAGGGAAATGGATCAGTGTGGATGACAGTCACAGGCGGGGGTCGACTCCTTTCTTTCAGTGAAAAGGCACCACTCCACAGGAACAAGTCCCCTCCGCAGGCGCAGCCCCTCCCCTGGCGCGACAGACTGCCCGGGGGGACACTCCCGCCGCCACTCGCAGCGGCCCAGGGGTCGCTCCCTCGGCAGTGCCAAGTACTCGGAGACGAGAGTAGGTAACCCCAGACCAACAGCCAACGAATGCGGAGACTAGCCTCCAGGCCTGACCCGGTCTTCCAGGTTTCGCATCGGGGACGCGAGGGTTGAGGATCTTGATTCTCTGGCCCGCGGAAGAGGATCGGAAAAGGAATGGGTCGGGTGACCAGCCTCGGCCCCCGGAAGAAAAGGAGGGCCAGACCAAGACCCTAGGGCAGAGCGTCCAATGGCCACCCCGCCCCCTCCGTGAGAGCAGTAGGAGTGAGAAGCCAAGATGCCTGTCACCGGTGGCTCTTACCTCCGCCCCACACCTATGTCTGCCCCGAGCTCCCTGGAGACTCCCTGCGACGCCGCTTGCTTCGAAGACCGAAGAGCAGGTCCCGAACGGAGTCTCGGGAGTGTGCGACGTCGGCTCCAGGTTAGTTCCCCTGATCTGGGAACGAGCAAACTGCGCAGCCGCAGGCGCAGAACCCTTCCTTCGGCTCACACGCCCCCTCCCTCCGTGTCCCCGGCCTCTCTTAGTCCCAAGACGCCTGCGCGCTGTGATACCGAGGCTGAGCCTGGGCTTTGAGCTTCTTACCGGAAGTGCCGGAGGAGATTCCACGGAGACGCGATTGCGGAAGATCGGCCTTAGGTCTGGCGTCAGTTTCCCACTACACGTTTCGGGAACGAGGTCGGGAAGCGCCCCGCGCCACTGCTCGGCCTCCTTTGCCCTTCGCTGACCTAGAAGTGGCTTCCTTCGCCCTCATCCTCTAGCGTCCTCAGCCGGCTCAGAGATCCGGCCTGCACCGGACACACCCGCCTGCCTGACAGCTAACCCCGCCGGCTCGCCGCGCTGCTGTCCTCGAAAACCCGTTGACTTCAGATCTGTTTTGCAAGCCCCCTGCGCTGCCCTGGCCGCAACGAAAATGCTCCTAACCCTCCCAGAGCTTCAGGCCCCCCAGCTGACTGGCCATTTCCGTCGGCGGCCCGGTCCTTCCCTCTCCTTGCTTTAGTTCTGCTTTTCCTAACAGTGGCCACAAGGATAGCTGCCTCCTTCTAACAACAAAAGCTAATCTGATGGAGAAAAAAATGGCATGCATGTATGTGATGTGTATTTCTGTTCGTTGACCTTCACTGTCTTTACCACAAGTTTCTTAAAAGTCTAAATGAGGGAAGAAGAAACATCTCCGTGTGTGGGGGGATTAAGGTATCATTACTGGGTGGGGGTGGGAGGGGACAAAAGGTTTTACCAGTTCAGATTTCAAAACTAGCCCTTCAAAACTTCACTGGTCACAGTATGTCAGGAGTATTTCAGTCAGATGTGATTATGGGGGAAAATTTAAGAATCAGTGCTCAAATTCTAAATCTGCAATTGACAAGTTTGTTATCAGCTCAGTGTTAATTTTCTTTATCTAATCTTGAGTTTCCTAAACTCTGAAATGGAAGCATGTGGTTTTAGTTCACCAGCGAAGCTTTTATTGGCTGCTTAAAATAATCTATTGAAGATCTGATATGTGACAGGCACTGCGTTAAATGCTTTGCTTATTATTTCATTTTTATCCTAAGTAAAATTTGGAAAGCATAGTGTTTATTTTCTTTGTGTTAGGTGTTGTTCACACATAAATTAAAAATGAGATAACTGTCTTTATGGAACCACAGTTAAATAGTATACAGGGTCCAGAAGTAATATGTGCTTGAGTGTGGTTGGTAGGGTAATAACATGGGTGTAATAATTTGTAGTTTTATTTTGAACATTTCACCTACAATGCCATATGGTTTTTGAGTGTGATATTGTTTATGTTACAGAGTTATATGCTTATGACTTTGTAATAAAAAAGGTGTTATTTGTCCCAGACTCTGTGTGTGTGTGTGTGTGCGTGTGTGTGTGTACATATACGTACATGCATATTTGGGATAAAAGTACATATAGTACAGTGTGAGGGACAAATAATAGAAATAAGAAACACTAAGAACTTAAGTATGATAAATGGGAGATGTTATACATAGTCAGTTCACAAAACAGGAAATTTAAGTGCCTACTATGTATTTTGCTAATGTTTAACTAAGTAATGAAAGGAAGACCAAAGACATTATTTCCCATGGATCTAATCAGCCAGCTTGTTTAAAATATTAATGAACTCCTTTGGTGAGAACAGAATGAAATCAGCCCTCATTTTGTTTGGGATCTAAATTAGGACAAATATTTTGTGAAGTCATTTGTCAAATTCTACTAAGAAATGTTCAGATTAACTAATTCAGTAATTTTCCTTCTGCAAGTTGTAAGGAGATACTCCAGAATACTGAGATTTATATGGAATAACAATAAGGAAAGTAAACAAGTTATCCAAATGAATGTCTTTCATATAGAAATGCAACTATACTTTGTTGTCACATTTATTTGTTGATCTATGTTCCCTCTGTGCAGTACAGTATGCTAGGAGTTATAAAGGTTATAAAGAGGGATAATTTGTGATTTTTGCCCTGAAGTTCACCATCTACTCTATTGTTCTTTTATTTAGTTGAAAGATTTCTGTAATATAATAAGATTATGGGATCTTTGTATAGATTCTGGGTCAATTAAATTTTCTCTGATTTCCTTTATCGAATAGAATAAAGAAATCTGTACATCAAATGCAGGGTCAAAAAAGAGTCCTCAGAAAAGTCTGAGTTAATAATTTCTGAAAAATTCCAAGTATCATCTTTAACTTATGAAGATCCAATTTATAAGCAAATGGTTTCTGGGCTCGAAGAAATCATCCCAATTGTAACATATTTGGCCAATGTATTTCTTAGACTGACTAGTCATTGCCTGAATCATCAGCAGTTTATTTTGAAAGGTAATTAGAATCTTGATTTTAAGAGGCTTAAATTCCACAGTAATATGAACTCGTAAAGTGTTCCCTTTACATAAGTAATATGGGTGGAGAAAATACCAGAAGCAAATGAAAATAACTATTAGAATTATTCATTTGTTTCAGGCTGGTTTAATACTAACAAGCAATTTTAGAACTAGGGATTTATTTCTCTAAAACACATAATGTAACCTGGAACTGTTAGTTAACCATTAGTATTTAAGTACTACATAGTCATGTTTTGACACTCAGGTTATGAGAAAAGGGGCTAAACCATCTTATAAAAAAAATTATCTGTTTCAGGGCCAGTTAAATCAGCTATTGGAGCAATGTCACTAATAAAGAAATAGTTACAGCATGAAAGCTAGTTTTGTTTTTTTAATGATAGAAAACTTTGTAAAAAATACACCAAAATATTAACTGGATTATATTTTGAAGATGATATTATGAATTATTTCTCTTTAGATGTCCACATTTTCCACATTTTTTCTAACAACATTAATAATCCAAGGGGGGAAATGGAACATTTTCTTCTAAAAAGTATTGCTGAGCAGTACATAACCGAATCAACCCATTACCTTGCATTTATTTTTGCAGTCTTTGCATACATCATATTGCATGACTGTGAGTTAAAGGAGAGAAATAACCAAAAAGGATGGATGAACCCTTGTGTCTGGATGTTGTCTGAGAGGTGGCAGCAAGATACAATCATTCCCAGGACTGAAGTATGATACAGCTTCAACATCATGACACAAGTTCCCTTAACAATAACGTCATTACAATTCTTTGCCAAATATTTCCAGTTCTCTCTTCTGGGCATGTGATGGCAATGCACTTCCCAGCCCCCCTGTGGTTGAATAGGGTCATGTGACTGACTCAAGCATACGTGTCATTTTTAGGCTGGACCGTTTACTCACCAATGTGAGATACTCCAGAGCTTGCTTCCCTTCTGGCACAGCAATAGGCAAGACTTGATATTGTGGCTGCTCCATCAGTGTGAGTCAATGAGAAATTCCAATGAACAAAGCACTTCTGAGGGAGTACCAAGGGGGAATACAACAAACCTTATTATATGCCACTGAGATTTTTTGGGTGGCTTGTTACTTCAACAAAACTTAGCCTATCATGGCAGATAAACTGTTTTATGCCCCTGAGACGTATGAGTGGCTGTTCTGTGCTATATAATACACTGAGGCAGTGCTTCCAAGAGGCTATCTGCAACAGCATTGTTTCCTAATGTGTTTTTCCTTCACAGGTGAATTGCTATATACTCATAATTGTTATGACTTGCCAGGTAAATAAATACATTTGTTGTAAGAGCAATAGTGAATTTTTTAAAATTGTTTTGTGGGAAATATCAATCACATATAAAAATAGAAAGAATATTTTAATAAATTGTGTACCTACCTCTCAGCTTCGGTGTCAACAACTCATAGTCACAGATTTTACTTCATTTATACTATAGACTCACTCTACCCATCTGCGTGTAGCTGGATAATTTTGAGGCAAATCTCATGTATCTTTTCATCTCTAAATTTTTCTATGTGCATATTTAGAAGATAAGCCCTTTACAAAATAAAAATAATAATGCAACGAACTCTCTTGTATCCATTACCATAACCCAGCTTCAATATGGACAATCCTGTTTTATTCATACCTTTACCCACCCGTATATTTTGAAGCAAATTCCATGCTTTGTATCATTTCATTCATAAATATATATATACATAATGCATACATATGTATCTCTAAAGATTATATATATAGCTCTTTACAAAAACAATAATACCATGTCACACGTAAAAAATTTAACAATTCTTCAATAATGCTAGATATTTAGGCACTTGTGTTTAATTTTCCAATTGTTTAAGAAATGTAATAATTGAAATAGTTTGTGGGAATCCAAATAAGGTCAACATATTGAAATGGGCTGCTATTTAGTAATATTCCCTCTTTTTTTTTTCATTCCTTGCAATTTAATTTTTGAAAAATCACATTTTGGCCTGTAGAATTTTCAGCACGTGAATTTTTCTGCACCTACCTCCCCACGGTATCTTTTAACATGTTTTTCTTCCCCCATGTTTCCTATAAACTTTCAGCTAGATTTAGACGCTTACTTTATACACGTTCAGTTTTTTGGCAAGGCTGCTTCTCCCTCCGCCCCTTATCCATATTTTGCCACAGTCAGCTGTAATCTAAAAATAGTAAATGGAAAATCCCAGAAGTAAACAATTCGTAAGTTTTAAATTGCTCATTATTCTGAGTAGCATGATGAAAATTCAGCCATCCTGCTCCATCCAGCCCAGGATGTTGATTCAGTTAACATTTATCTCACTTATCAATGGCCACAAAACACAAGGGTAGTGATGTTGACAATTCAGATATGCCAAAGAATATGTGAAATACTTCCTTTAAGTGAAAAGGTGAAAGCTCTCAATAAGGAAAGAAAAAACGTGTGCTGAGGTTGCTCAGATCTACAATAAGAACAAATCTATCCATGAAATTGTGATGAAGGTAAAAGAAATTTGTGCTAGTTTTGCTCTTGCACCTCAAACTGCAAACGATGCTGCCACAGTGAGTGATAAGTACTTAGTTAAGATGGGAAAGACACTAAATTTGTGGGTGAAAGACATGAACACAAAAGGTTCCAGTGACAGTAATGTGTTGCCTCAGAGAACACTGAGCCTATTTGAGGACTTCAGCAAGGGATCTCCCAACATGAGTGACACCAGGCCATTTACTGCAAGTAAGGGATGGTTAAACTGATTCAGGAAAAGGGTTGGACTGAAAACTATAGAAGTTACTGGAGAGGCTGCATCTGCCTAGGAAGAAGCTGCTGCTACATTTCTGGCAGCACTGAAGAAGTTGATTAAGGATAAAGGATACCTTCTAAAACAAGTCTTCAGTTGCAAAGAAACCAGGCTCTTTTCGAAAAAGATGCCCAATAGAACCCATATTCATAAAAGTGCAAAGGAGGCATCAGGTATAAAACATGGAAGGATAGATTAACTCTGGTACAATGTGGCAATGTTGGAGGGCACATGATAAAGCCATGAGTAGTGAACAGAGCAAAAAACTCATGTGCTCTCAAAAACAAAAATTATCTGCTTGTGTTCTGACAACATAATCAGAGTGTGGGTGACAGCCATCTTGTTTTTGAAATGGCTCCACCAGCCCATTGCAAGAAGAAGGGTGAGTATAGCACTATATTTTGAGACCATATTCACATAACTTTTGTTACAATTGTTCTACTTTACTATCAGTTGTTATCGTCGATCTCTTGCTGTACCCAATTTATAAATTGAATTTTATCATAGGTACGTATAAGAAAAACAGTATATAGAGAGTTCTCTACTCTGTATGGTTTCAGGCGAAGGGTCTTGGAATGCATCCTCTATGGATGAAAGAGGACTACTGTATTGTGAGATATATAATATCTTATTGGCTCTCTTTTAATAATATTAGCAACCATAGATAATCACTGCTTGGGCTCATTCTTTGATTTGGGGTTTGCAAGATGACATTCTCATCTTTCTTTTTCCTTAGCTGGAATTCTTTTATGAAAAAAAAAACAACTTCCTCAACAACTATTTAGTTTTCCTGAAATATAGTTCATACAGGAAAGGGAGATTAAATCTCTGACCTTTTACTTTACTGACAGTTTTCAGAAGAATGAGCTGGTTCCTTTGTATCCTCTAAATGAGAATAGTGGTGGTTGGGGCAGGCGTTAATATATATAAATTAAATATATGTATATGTATGTATATAGGTATGTATAATACCTAACCAGTTCTTTTATTTTTTTAGCATTTTTGTAAACAAATTTAATAATTTCGCCATTGTTAATCCCAATTTTAATACCATAATAAACCCATGTAATATCTATTGCCATAATCATAATACTAAAAATATTAAAATTGTCAAAGGGTTTGTACTTAAATTTAAATCTGATTAAGATTTACTTATCATTCTAATGTTAGATTTATACTTTTTCTTT